TTGCCTTCAAGAGGGCATTAGATGACTGTTGGGCTTCTACCTTCCCTGAAGCAGTTTGACTGACGTGATACTGCACCTTACTTTCTGCCTTTCAGAAAAAAACTATTGACTCGCAGTGTTGGAAGCCACAAGAACAGCCAACAACACATCAATCTGGACGCAAGATTGGCCCGGGCCACACATCGTCCTGTGCAAACTGAACTGAACTGAACTGAACTGACCTGCGGTATGTGCGCTGGGGCACATTAGAGACGAACACTTTGGCGAAGTTTCCGCGTCCTAGTAGTGTGCTGTCAAGGTGTACAGACATCTGCCGTATAAGCAACAATCAATCTATTATCCATTTGTGTCCGCTTCGCCGTTTTAATATTGTCTGCTAAATGGAGGCAGATGCGATTTACGACTTTTCTGCCAATGCCGATGATGAACTTGGTTTTAAAAAGGGTGGATTCTTGAAGGTATGTTGCACGGAAGTTCAGTGCATTATAAGCTCTATATCATTTGTACGAAAATGTGTAGTGATCGCTGAAGCCTTGAAGTAATCCTTGTAGTTGAGGCTTGAGCGCAATAGTCCCGGTTCTGTTTGTCTTATTTTCTGTGGTTCGGTACGGTTCCTGAAAGCGGGGATTATTGAAAAAAGGTGCGGGCTTCAACGCTGTGCCACTGGGTTTTTGTCTGTTATTCTCGTTTTTACTGGGCACTGTTTTTTAGCCATTCTGGTCACAGGCAGTTCAGTTGAGTATATTCTCTTCAGTTTCTGATTACGGCCGGGCAGGCGTCCGTAATCCTTCCGCTTTCATAGAAATCAATCGACTACGGTCACTAAAATCATTTCTTCTTCAAGTTCCTAAATGCGGACATCTCCACTGCTCGATGGTTTAGAGATGTAGGCGCTCTATCTCTACTTGTGAAAGCTATCCGGTCTCTAATTTCCCGTGCTGCTCGATATCCTGGTAGGTTCCAAGAAGAAAAAGCGATTAGTCAAAGGAAAATATATTGTTTCCCTAAAGTTATCGCAAGTTTAGCAGGATTACTCTGGAGCGTCTGAAAGCGAACATCTTAGCAATCAAAGTGCAGCACTATACTCAGTCAACGTTTAAGGTGAAGTTACTTCACCGGAGGTGGTAGTGACTTGAACAAGACTGAAGGACCTAGCTGAAGAAGCGGTCTCAGGATATCGATGATCCTGGCGGAATCTATGCTACAAAACAAGGATGCATGAGCGAATGCCCTAAGAAACCATTGCCTGCAACCCATGCCTCAACCTATTGAGGCCTTATGTGGTTTAACACTCCAAGTCTCTCTCACATCTCATATGATGAATACAACTTGCAGAAATCAAGTAATGCGCAATCCACCTTCAAACTCAACACTCCATAGCCCTCACCAATAGTCTTAGTTTAAATCGAAACGTTAATTCTGTACACTACTTCCTCCAATTTTCTTCCCCCTTGGCTTTATTTTTGACGGAGACACGAATCTCCCCTCGTCAGACACTACTCATCTTCAGTTCCCTAATTACTTCCTCCATTATTTTATTCCTAAAGCTGGTATCTGCGCCTATATACATCATTCTGTCGCTTCTTCCCGACTTTAGCTCTTAGACTTTTCTAACCGTGAATTTCCGCTTATGTGGCTGAAACTTCGAATTCCATTTTTCAACCACTATTTTTGTACTGTTTACAGTTCCCCAAACAGCAGTGGTTCTTCTATTTTTGATATTCTGTCTTCCAACCTTGTGACACTAATGTCGGCAGATTCTAACAGCCAAATTACCATTGTCGGGGATTTCAATGTTCACAACAACGGATGGCTAAAACACTCCTCAGGTACTACCTTTATGGGACGCGAAGCCGAGGCTTTTGCTGTGGTCAACAACCCAAGTCAACTAGTTGATTTCCCCACACGAATCCCTGATCATATTGGTGACCGCGCCCACACCCTTGACCTCATTCTCACGTTCCGTCTTCTTTCTGCAACATTACTTCCCTTTCCCCATTAGGCTCATCGGACCACTGTCTCATTTCCCCTGTCACTCCATTTCACCACCAAACTCCAGGCGCACCTTTTGGCGTTACGATTCAGCCAACTGGGACTGTTTTCGTGACTTTCTGGCTTGTTATCCCTGGAAGGATTGTTTTAAATCGGATCTTTCCACGTCTGTTTCAAACTTCACTGAGATTGTTCTCCAAGGCATGTATCTTTATTTTCCACACTTCTCCAAACCCGGCAAACCACGATCCCCTGAGAGTTTAATGACGTTTCCAACCGTGCTGTACGTTTTAAAAACTCCGCATTCCGTCGTTAGCGCCGCTCACCCAATTCAGCATCGCACAACCACTTCGTGCAAGCCAGAAACAAATGCTCGGGCACTATTCAGAGAGCTAAAGAACGCTTCGTTTGTCACAAAGCTGCGTGCTTAGCTTCTTCTGCCCCCGGTAGCCGAACACTCTGGTCCCTCGCTAAAGCGGTTACGCGTAATTTCTGCTCTTCCAACTCTCCTCCCATTTCGCAATTCCTCTAGTACTCTGGTTTGTGATCCCCACGAAAAAGCAGAGGTCTTCGCATCCCGGTTTACCTCCAACTCCACCCTTTCTGCCGCCTCTACTGTTCAACCCTCCTACACATCCAATCACTTATTTCTACCTATCATTACAACCAGAAAGGTCCGCCAAACTCTTCGCGGTTTGGATGTTTGTAAACCACCCAGTCCGAACTGTATTCCACCTCTCGTCCTAAAAATGTGTGCTCCGGCGTTAGCCGCTGTTCTACGTTGCCTTTTCTGTTATTCACTCGAACTCAAATCTTTCCCTACT